TGACACAAGGCATCAACCATTACATGGCTTCTATTTGTTAATATTTTGTTAAGGACTTTGGATATTTTGTTAAGGATATTCATAAGTGATATTAGTCTATAATTTTCTTCTATTGTAGTATCTTCACCTGGTTTTGAGATCGGTATAATACTGACTTTATAAAATGAATTGGAAAGTGTTTCTTCCTTTCCTTTACTCCAGAAGAGATCATGTTGAGTTGGTGTTAGTTCTTTAAATGTTTGGTGGGATTCTCTAGTAAAGCCATCTGGAGACTACATATTTTTATATTCATAATTTGAGTTGACTCTCATAATAACCTTGCAAAGAAGGAAAGTTCTGTATGGATATAGGATTTAAGGCTCAGAGGTATTAAGTGAGTTGCCCAAGATTTAGAAGTCTTCTGATCTCAAGTTCCACGTCATTTCCACTATATCACAGTTCCTGAGTTAGTCTAGGCAGATTCTTCAGCAATTGGAAGCTCTTTGGGAAAAAGGAAAGACGATAATCCTATCTGCTCCTGGCCACTTTGTTTAGCTGAGTGCCCCCTTCTTACCCGTCTTACCTGACATTGTTTCAAGTTGAAGAGTAACAAGGCAACTAGTGAATTGCCAAGTATAAAGCCTAGTACTACTAGCACAATTATAAAGTCTAAAATGTGATGTTCAGGCGGGATGACAGTGATGCGTCCCACTTCAAAGCTTCAGAGGCAAAACAAGACAAAAAGGTTTGGACAGAGGAGGAAATCCTGCTCTCTATGGTTTCTGGTCATTCTCCGGGAAGTTTCCATAGGTCACTTCCCTCATCCATCCTGTTATCACCCACTCTAAATTTTCCAGTGTGGAATGACTATCTCTTTTAAAATAAATTACTTCCTAGGCATTCTCACCATCTTCATTCAGTAGGCCTTCTTGGAATTTGTCTTGCAGTGAAGAGCATATCACTTCAGTAGTTTTCAATGATTCCCTTTTGTCTATAGATGTCAACTGTATGATTGTTATCTTTGTATGATCACGGTTCTCAAACTTTCTAAAACAGAAGAATCACTAGAGAAACTGATGTGAAATGCAGAAGGTTAAGTTCCAACCCCAAAGATCCTGATTCAGTAACACTTTGGGCCAAGGCTTAGGAATATGCATTTCAGAACCAACAGCCCCACACACCAAGTGGTTCCCATGCACAAAACTCATATTGAGTTCACACCACTTAGCCTAGTTTTCAGGGTCCTCTGCAGTCTGATTCCAACTTACACACCTCCCTCATTCAGAATCCCACTCCTAGCCCCCTACAGTCCAGCCATGGTGGAGGAGACTGATCCACTTGGCAAGCACGCCTTTCACTGTAAAATTTCTAGGTACTTACTAGAATTGCTCACTCTTAGAAAGCTCATCTTCACTTTGTCTATTGAAATCCTATCTTTCCTCAAGGTCACACTCAAAATATACCTTTTCCAGAAGCCATTTCCAATTCCCCCAGGAGAACTAAATCTCTTCTGGTGTTTTTCCTCTTGCCCTTATCACCTTGACTGTAGCAGAGTTGTTCAAACTATAGGTTTCCCACCTATTAAGAGGATGTGACCAGCTTTTCATTTAAATTTACGATAGCAAGTAAGAGAATACACTACAGAATATCAGTGTGGGGTCTTATAGTAAGGCTCTTGTAATGTATTTCTTTCAGTTAAACATACACATATATGCTTTGTGTCATGACTTGTGTATTTCATGTGAGTTGTAGTAAAATAAGAGTAACGTTAAAAGTCACTGCTATGGCACTCATATCCGTTTGCCCCTCATTAGAACCCTTCATATGGCTTTCCGTTTCCCCATTATTGTGGGCCTCTGGAGAATAACCAAGTCATCTTTACTCTCGCATCTCCAGCACCCATCAGTATCAGAGGTTTTATGCCCATGCCTCATTTACTAAATTGAGTCGAGCTGTATGATCACAGTACCTCTTCTGGGATGAACTACATCAGACAAAGGTTGGGGTTATGCCTTTCAGAAACTGCCTTTTCTCAAGACAGTGGACTCTGAGGCACTGCCAGGGCAGCGGGCCCCTCCTCTTGACCAGGAGAAAAGGGTGACAGCTTCTAAGGCAATTCACTGGAGCAACAGTTTTCCCCTGGGAATTCTGGAATGTGTTCTGAGAGATGGAGTGGGCAGCTCTGAGGACCAAGTGAGCTCAGTGGAAGGACACTCTGCAAGAAGAAGTGTAGGAACCGGCAGCCCCATGAGCTTTCCGTGAGCATTTACCGGGCATCTACCATGCAGTTAAGTCACCCTGCTGGGTGCTTAAGAGCCAAAGAAGTCTTCAGCATGGGTGACAGACTGGGCCACAGAAATATTTTCCTAAACCCTCTCGCATGGTGGTTCAAAAGGCAACGTGGACATTGCCTGACCTATGCGTACCCTGCTTTTCACTTGTGTATTAACTGCAATTGCCTCGGGCTATTTGGAAGCATAGCTATGGAAAGTCTTTGTCTTTGAGGAGCTCATAGTGGAGGAGTTGGGACAAAAACTTTCACTGGCAATTTCCAGGTCCCTCGGACTGGGGGAAGTAGGAGGACAGTAGGTCCAGAGAGGGCAGATATAGGACAGAGCTGGATACGGGGTCAAGCTGGGTTTCGAATGACGTGCTTGAGTAAGGGGAGAGAAAAGAGAGGGCTTTCAAAGGAAAAAGAGAGTGAGGAGGGGTTGGCTTATTGTAGGGAGGGTTTGTGACAGCCTGGGGTCATAGCCCTGAGGAGGACTAGGCTGTGAAGGGTCCAGAGAAGGGAGGATGGACCGCGAAATTCGTTCCAGTATCAGAAGAGTTTTGTTACAAGGCCTTTAACTTACCCTCAAAATAAGATTTGGAAATAGAGAAGATCGCTTTTAAAAAGCAATGGTGAGGGACCTATTAGAATGGCTAAAGTCCCAAAAATGGAACAATGCCAAGTACAGGCGAGGCTGTAGAAACTCTCACCCCCTGCTGGTGGGAATGCGAACGGCATCACCCTGTGAGACACTGCTGTGCTTTCTTACAAAACTAAACATACTCTTCCCACGGAATCCAGCAACCGCACACCTCGATATTTACTCAACTGAGTTGAGAGCACAAACTGCACATGAATCAGCTTTATTTATAATCACCAGATATTGAAAGTGACTAAGCTATCTTTTGGTGGGTGATTGGGTGGGTGGATGGATGGATGGATGGGTGGGTGGATGGGTAGATGGATAGACAAACTGAAGTCCAACACAACAGTGGAATATTACTAAGCAGTAAAAAGAAATGGGCTGTTGAGACAGGAAGAGACATGGGGGAACTTAAAGCTTTAAATGCATCCTGCTTAATGAATGAAGCCAGTCTGAAGAGGCTACATACTGCATAATTCCAACCCTATAGCATTTTGGAAAAGGCAAATCTTTAAAAATAATAAAAAGATGCATGGTTGCAAGGGGTTGCTGTGAGAAGGAGAGATGACTAGGTAGAGCACAGCAGAATTTTAGGGCACTGAAATACTCTGTATGGTGCTATCATGGTCATTACATATCTGTCAAACCCATAGAACTCTATAGCACAGAGTAAATCTTTCTTTTATTCTTTCTTTCTTTTGTGGTACTGGAGATCAAACTCAAGGTCTCATGCACACTACACAAGTGTTGTATCACTGAGCTACGTCATCAGCCCCAGGGTGAATCTTCATGTAAACTATGAACAGTAGTTAATGATAACATGTTAGTATTGATTAATCAAGTGTAACAAATGTGTTTGCTAAGCCAGTGCAAGGGTTTTTTGTGGCGGGGAGTGGGGGGATCTTTTTGAGACATGGTTTCACTATACAGTTCAGGCTGACCTTGAACTTTCTTTGGAGCCCAAGCTGGCTTTAAACTCGAAGCAATATCCTGCCTCAGCCTCCCAAGTGTTGGGATTACAGTTGTGCATCACGACTCCTGGCCTCAGATTATTAATACAACAGAGAACCTGTGGAAGTAGAGCTGAGAGGAGGGAGATTGAGTATATGAAATTCAGCGTACAGTCTGCTCAGTTATTCTATAAATCCAAAACTATGTTAAGATAATCTAGTAATTTCTTTAAATTGAAGAGATTTCAAATTAAAAGAACAAAAGAAAGCAAATGTGGTGAGAATTGTTTTTAAATGCTGAGAGTCCGCCAGGTGATCCTGGAAACTTGCTTGGAACATACACACCCAGCCTTGCCTTCTAGTTCTTCTCACTTACAGAGCCCCTCAATATAAAATCCGTGCCTGGAGCTGGGCCTGGTGCCACGTGTGTGTAATCCTAGCACTTGGGAGGCTGAGGCAGGAGGATCCAAAGTTGGAATTTGTACAATGTGCCACCCTTGGAAGTAAGGCTTTTCAACCTCTTCCTAGTTTGCTGAGCTTTATCATCAAATGAAATCGGGCTTGTTTTCTACTTTTGGATAAGCAACCTCACATTCCTTCCAAAGGAAAAAGGGCTTTTCTCTGGCCAAACTTTTTCTCAAGGAAATGTAATGATGATAGACTTGGGGGAGCTGATTGTTAATTCTCCGTAATTATATGAGACCTTTTCAATTTGTTTGGTGGTTTATCTCTTCTGAGTAATCAGATAAGGCAATCAACACATCTTTCATATTATAAGGAGCCTTTCTTTTTTAAAGAAGACTACTCCTCCTGGAGCTTCTGGAAGCCACAATAAGGGTAAATTCCAATCAGCTACTCTAATGACTCTTAATGAGGTTCTTGTTTTAAACCCCTTTGAGTTATACGGGGCTCCTCCAATGGAGAACCTTTAAGACTGCATTAATCCCCTTGAGTTCCAAATCTGTTCATTTCAAGGGCTGAAATTGGCTTCTATAACCTTTGGAACCACCGACATTTGCTTTCAAAGTTGACACTTTCTATTTAAATGGCGAAAAGTAAACCTTAGTGTCACAGAGTTGAACATACCGATTTCAATCATCACCCTTAAGTTTGCACCTTTCCTCTTAGTCATGCGTGGTGTTCTTCTCTTAATTAGAAAGAGCCAGGGACTATCTGCACAAGACCGGAAGGTTCATTGTGATTGGCGGGATTGTCTCCCCTGTCCACGACTCCTATGGAAAACAGGTGGGTCGCTTCCTGTGCCGTCCCCTTTCACCCTCCCTCACCTAATAGTGCCCTTGGAGAAAGTGCCCCCTGTCCTCTCTGCGAAGGTTCTTGGAAATGCACAATGTCCACAAGCAGGCATCTGCCTGTGTCTCTGGACCACAGCCAGACCTGAGGGAGTGGGTGCTGGGGCAGCAGCTGGGAGGAGCAGCTGCCCAGGACAGGCCCCCACTCACAGCACCAGGCCCAGGGCGTGCTCGTAGAGAGAGGAGCAGGCATGCTGGTTCGGGGTGGCCAAGCCTGGATGCCGAACCCGTGTCTGGTTATGGGTTGAGCCCCACTGGGCAAGAGTTCTCTAGGATTTTCAGAGAAAACACCTATGCCTCTTGTTATCAGATTTAAATTCATTTCCCTGCCCCTGCCTCCATATTACATGCCCCAGAAAATTCAGGAGTTCTCCTGCTCACTCCCCCTGTGTCCCACAGATACAGCTGAGTCTGGGAGGAGTAACCTAACCAGCCAGGCTGAGCCATCAGCAGGCAGTGTTTACTGAGTTAAGTCTCTTGTCTGTGCAGGGCACGCCTTGCCTGCCCCACCCAGGCGGGCTCATCTCTGACCCTGTCAGGGTGGCGCACGCCACACATCCTTCATCCTTTCTCTTTCCCTCTGCCACTTCATGCCTCTCCGTGTGGCAGATGGAAAAGTAACGGGGTCACAGCTCACATTCCCTCTTGACACCAGACACTGGCTGCACGGGATAAGGAGCTGTTGGAGCTGATGGTCTGGGACGGTGGGGGTTGGAGGAGGCGCCCTGTAACCTCTCTGTTGCTTCCCAGGGCCTCGTGTCCAGTCGGCACCGTCTCATCATGTGTCAGCTGGCCGTGCAGAACTCCGACTGGATCAGGTAGGCGGGGCCCGACGATGGCAAAAGCAGGTGGCCCTGCGCTCACGGGGGCTGGGGTGGGGAAGGAGGAACAACGGCAGCAGTACTTTGATTCCCGCAAGGGAGGGGACATGAGGGGGAACTATTAGTCCTTCCAGGGCTCGCACACAGGTAAGTTTATCTTTTAACACAGCTATGGGGTTCAGGAAACTAAAGCGGCAGCTCTGAAGGGTTTTGTCTGCATTGGCACCTCTGGGTCCTGGCGTGACTCCTAGAGCTTCTAAAAGCATCACCGGACTTTGGAAGAGGCATGGCTAGAAAGTCTGAAATGCCCCCAGCCCTCATCCCACTAAGTTCATTAACTCTTCTTCCTATCAGCCAGGGTTCCCTGGCCTGGGCCATGGCCCGTTCCCAGCTGAGGCTCTGAGCTCCAGACTGACTCGGCAGAGGTGCAGGCCCTGGGTGAACCCTGCGTCTACGGTGTCCACACCGAGTCCCACCCACAGAGTGCCTTCCGCTCGCAAGAGGGCAGTGCCTGTCGCACATCAGCCGCCTGAGCTGGCAGTGTAATTAAAGCAAGCTTCCACTAATTATGCTAATTATGCTCCCCCAAGTTCCTACCGTTATAATTTGCATGATAAGATGATTTTTTTAAACAAAAATAATGGTATGCCATTTGTGCCATAATTTCACCCTGTGGAAAAGCAAGTAGCATCTAGAAGTTTCTGTGAGGGGAGGGAAATGAGGGGAGCTGACCTGGGAAGGAGAGCCCGAGGTACCGGGGAGGGCAGACAGGCGGAAATGAGTGCAGTGAAGGGAAGCCACCATAATAATTAAACAATAATCCCTGCCACTGGTTTACAGTGATTTCTGTGTGAAGCACACACTCTTCACAGACTTTCTCACCCCCTCAAGAGGCAACGAAGTAGAGACATAGCTACTTTTTCTCAGGTGAGACCCAGGCCCAGAGCTGTCCAAGCACTCGAGCAGTGATGCAGCTGTGATCACATCAGGATGGGAAATGAGGCCACTCCTGACCTGATGGGGAAAATGGGATCTCATGGGAAAAACATTGGGCAAGAGGCTGTTCTTGTTTGGACGTGCTTAGAAGATTCTGGAATAACTCCCTCACTCATCCAGTAAATATTTACTGAGTGCCAGCTGCCTGCCGCATGCTGTTCCAGGCACTTGGAAAATCAGGATTGAGCTCACTAGGAAGTCCAAGAGCGAGTCCAGAGAGGGGAGCTCCTGCTCCTCTGAAGCTCCTCTGTGCCGCAGGGGAGGAGAGAGGGCCTAGGAGGAAGCCGGCTCAGGGCAGGCTGACTCCTTCAGCCTTTGCAATGAGTGAGACCTCATCTATGGAATCCTGACGTGCACGGGGGACAGGAAGATTTCTCAAAAAAGTTTGAGAAATGTCCCAGTTTAGTAGCTCGTTAAGTTGGCAAGTAAGTGTGCATCCTTCCAGGGCTGGATCCCTGCTTACTTCACAAGCCAGCGTGCGGAAGTGCTGGCCCATCTGTGGGTCTGTGCCATCTAGTCTGACTGCTGTGCCTCAACTCTGTGCTTGCAAGGTACCCCAAAGGCACAGGGAGGCATACCGGGCAGATGCCCCGGGGTCTGTAGCCTGGCCAGGGAAACCTCAGTCCCCTCTTCTTGAGGGCGTGGCTCACTTGATTCTTATCACAGCCTTGTAAGGTCCACAGGAGAATTCCCTTTTGTAAGTAAGATTAAGAGCAAGACACTCTACTAAGCATTATACATATAAAATTTACTGAGCCCTTGTAATAAACCACAGGATAATTACTACTGTTATTCTCATTTTACAGCTAGAGAAATTGAGGCACCGAAAGATCATCTAACTTTCCCATCACCTGACTTTCACATTTGGAAAGGGCAGGGGCTGGGATTAAACCCAGATAGATTGGCACCATCATCTTTTCTCATAAGCCTATGGTAGACTTCTCTCATTTTACAGAGGCTCAGGTAGGGCTTCACGCTCAGTTTTTATCTGATTTGAGATCTAAGCATACAATATGATCAGGTCTGCTAAGCTCCCTGAGCTGTGATCTTTGGAAGGAAGCAGTCCAGAACCTGTGGGAATGGAAACCAAGGGAATCTTCTCTCCCGTGATGTTAGGGTGGACCCATGGGAGTGCTACCAGGACACCTGGCAGACGACTTGCAGTGTGCTGGAACACCACCGGGACCTCATGAAGGTGAGCCGGGACACAGCTGGGGGAGGAGGGGGGAGCCCACCAGGGTGCAAGAAATGGGCTGTATCCACAGAAGCCTGGCCAGGCAGGACAAGCGGACTGGGGGCCTGCAGACCTCGTCTCAGCTTCCTACTTCCCTGCCAGCTGTGAGAAAGTCCAGCCTCTTAGTTGCACAAAGGAAGGCAGTGCATTAGGAACCTGGAGCGACACTGGGGGTTGCCCCTGCCTCCTGTCCTCTCACTTGGCCTCCCATCTGGATATCCTATGATATTGTTGCTGCTGCATACGACTGGGGCAGCTTTCGTCAGCTGGAAGCAAGTTCAAGCCGGGATTAAGGAGATCACAGTTATAGAATTTACTATAGTGAGGAGAGGAAGATGTTGGACAAAAAAAGACAGGAGAAAAGAGGATGGAGCTGGTACAAGCAGCCAGGCCCCCTTTCCCATCTGTTAGGGCTTCATGGATGCCTCCCTCTGGGGGAAGTTGCTGCAGCCAGGGCATAGCACACCTGCGAGCCATTGCACCCTCATCCCTGCCTCCCTCCTTCACAAGAGCTTTAGGGGAAGATGGTATCTGAGCTCCCTTTTCGTAGTGGATAAAAGTGAGCACAGAGAGGAGCCTGCGTGCCTGAGGACATGTAATGGGCCCTAGTGAGCACAGATGGATGAGAGCTCCTGCATTCCAGACTGGCGCCTGGGGCTTGTGTGGGTGCTGCAGAGAGGCCCAGGGGCTGGCTGCCTGGTAGAAGGGGCTCCATCCAGTGAGCAGCACCAGCCAGAGTGTGCAGAGAGCACCCTTCCCAGATCAATACCAACCCATGGACTCCCACAGTGGCAGGATGAAAAGCAGTGCTGTCGATACCCAGAATTCCAACTGACCAAGACAACAAAGAGTAAACTGCGTTCACCTCCCCCGACTCTGATGTACCCGAATAACAACAAGCTGTGGTTCTGACCCAGAGAGAACCCCCAGCCATCTGTTCCTGCTGTTGGCAAGCCTGTCTCCACCTCCTTGGAGAGCAGCCCCTGACCACACGGCTCCGCCAACCGCACCACTGAGCTTTATTCTACCAGACCTGGAGGGTTAGGGCTCCAGACTATGCTAGGGAGATAAGAGCAACAGAGCTAGAGACCCGCTGGCTCTTGCTCAGTGTGTTAAGGACCCCCCCACCTTCCCTCATGGAGTTGAACAGAATTGATCTCCTTTCCTCTGCATTCAGAACCTTCATATACAATCTGAATCTTTGCTGCTTCCCTTGAAAGACCCCTGACATGGGGTCACGGTTTTGTTTTTTTTTTTTAGACAGGGTCTCACCATGTAGTTAACACTCACTTGCAACTTAGTATGTAGTTCAGGCTGGCCTCAAACTCATGATCCTCCTGCCTCAGCCTCCTAAGTGCTGAGATTACAGCCATGCACCACCATGCCTGGCTCTCTGTGCTGGTTTTAACAACAGAGTAATAAAAGACACTTCATCTCACTATATAAGGATGTATCAATCAGGATAGGTTAAGATAGTTATGGTGATTAACATCCCTAAAAATCTCAATGACTTCACAAAAGTTTGTTAGTCAGCCTGCAGTGGGGGTGAGGAGTGCTTCTTCTAGTCAAACAGACGAGATCGGGCACGTTCAGGGTGGTATGGCCGTAGAACTTCTAGTCAAACAGGAGCCTCAGCCTCCATGATGGAGGGGAGAAATGAGGGACCCCTGCAAGCGTCCCCGAATGCTGCCTGTAATGACTACAGCCTGGCTATTGTTTTGCTGTCCAAATGCCTGGCCTTCTGTGAATACTCCCGCTATTACTCATGCCCCAACCATGAGTCTGAGCCAAGGAAGTTCAGCCAGGAGCCCCAGCTGTTGCAGGGATGGGCAGAGGTGGGCTGACAATGTGGGTCACAGATGGCCCCTTGCCTGGGAGTAAGAGCCCAGAGCTGCTTCCTACTAACCTCTGCCTTCCCTGGCGTGGTGTGAGGCCTGTGCTCCCTGCCACAGAGAGTAGACTTTTGGAAAGGCCTCAAGAACAGGGTGTGGTAGGGGGTTGGCAAGGGCACAGGTGGGGCCCGCAGCCAGCCCTGTCTTCTCTGGGCTAGAACAAGTCAAACGTCCAGCAAGAGGAAGGAATGCCTCAGCCACTAGACCGGTTATTGAATGAAAATGTAGAATTTTATCTTCTGGTGGTAAAACAATAAAAAAGAGACAGACCACTCCTTCTGTGCCCCAGGGCAGAGAAACGCACAAGACAGGCTGAGAAGATCCCCACCGGCTCCCAGGTGTGGTGGGACGCTGCTGTGACCTCCTGCCAGGAACATTCTGAACGTGACAGGCTGTGCCGCAAGACACATGGCTTCTCTTTTAGGGCTCCGGAGGACTTGTGTCCTTTTCTGCTGCAGGATGGCCTGTTAGGGAGAGAGCTAGAAGGTCCCCTCAGCCTGGGGCTTGGGCATCCTCTTGCAGCAGGACTCTGACCCAGACGGGGCAGCGAGCAGAGCAGCATCACTCCTGAGATGCTGGCTTTCATCGAAGGGACCTGAGCAAGCTATGGCCCTTGGGAAGCGAAACAGATTGAAAATGGGTCCTTTGTTTCTTGGAAGCCGGGAACTGGCTTCCCCCTCACCTTGGGCAAGGGAGGGTTACTTCTAGGCTGGCCAGGAAGAATACTGTGTTATCAGCTCTACGTTTGTCGTGGCACTGGAGAGAGCAGCAGGCCTGATAACACGGGATAATGGATAATGCACAGTGAATTTCCGCTTGGCTCTGGAATGTGTATTCACACCGCTGAGCAGGCCAGAGAGGGCTCAGAACCCACCCACCCACTTCCTGCAACACAAACACATCCTGCTCAGCCTGGCACCGCTTTCTCCCTGGGCCCTGTTATTGACGTCTCTGGTCTGAAGAGGCCGCAGGTGGTGAGAGTGACCTTTCCCAAGCTCATAGAGCCCTTGTGCAGACATGATCTCATTTTCGCCCCATGAACCAGGCAGGGAGGGCAGACAGGCATGATAGGCAGCAAGTTACACCCTTGGCGGCTGCTTACGACGTTCCTGCCATCTGCCAAGCACTCCAAAGACATTGTGCCTATGTCTGCTCGCCTAATGCTACCCCTGTAAAAAGGCAGGTGTATAGTTAGCCTTGAGTTGAGGTTTAGGAGAGTTTAAATTACTGTCTAAGTTCGCATAGCTGAAAAAGGCAGAGGCTGAATTTGGATTCAGATCTGCACAGTGCCATACCCCATGTTTTCCCCACTGAACTACCCTGTTTCCTGCCAACTTACTGACCACACGGCGCAGTTGGGTCTAGAGCCACCCTCAGGGCTCTCCCCCAGATCTAGGCCACGGACCATGATGCACAAGCAGCTATCCCTTTGGAGATAACTGGGAAAGCTCCCCAGAGTCACTTGGTTAATGACACTGATTCAGTATTTCTCCCTCTCCCTAGAGGGTGACCGGCTGCATCCTCTCCAACGTGAACACGCCTTCTATGACACCTGTGATCGGACAGCCACAGCACGAGACCCCCCAGCCCATCTACCAGAACAGCAATGTGTCCACCAAGCCCACTGCAGGTAAGGGGCCATTAATGTCCTTGGTTCCCTCTCCTCACAGTCACTCAGTGGGCTTTGTTCAAACGCTGATTGCTCAGTCCCACCCCAGAATCTGATTCAGTAGGTTTGGGCGCGGGGAGGAGGGTTTGCATTTTTAATAAGGCAAACCTGAGGCTGCTGGCACAGGAACTGTGCTTTCAGAATGGTTAGCATAGAACACTGATAGAATCAGAGAGAAGGAGAGGGAGGGAGGGAAGGAGAATGAAATGGTGGTGCGCATTCCTGATGTGCATTCAAATAGAAGTATAACTGCATTAACTGGGAATTAAATATATACAGGGAACCCATCTTTCTCTGCCTCTTTTAGGGAGGTTGAGGGTCTTGCAGAAGGTCACACAGTGAGGAAATAGGAATCATACCCAGGCAATCTACATCCAGAATCTCGCCACTTTTAGTTATCTCAATACAGACAAGCAATGGGGGCCACCAACACTTACCCAATCCCTCGTGTGCCCAGGGGACACCCAGCACTTCACATATGTTTTTATTTGAAGCAGAGATTCTGTGAGATAGATGCATGTTCCCGTGTCAATGATTTGCTGAAGGTCACACAGCTTAAAAGTGGAAGGGCTAGGATTCATGTTCGGTGCTGTTGGCCTCCATCATCTGTGCTCTAAATTCTTCCTGGCCAATGTCCAGAGGCAGATGATGCTATGTTTTTTAAATCTAGGGGCCATAAGCTATTGTATTATTGGTCTGTGATAAATGGGGTAATATCATACTCAAAGAAGAACCAGAATTTCACAGCTTGCATAGAGCTACACAGAGGGCTTCAGAAAAATTTTCTGGACTAGAACTCAGAGAAATGATTGAAAACCAGAACCCTCTCAGCCAAGTAGGATCGGGTTGTTACAAAGCCCATCTGCATGGGGAGGAATGCCTTCACCTAGTAAAGACCATTCCCAGAGTATGCTCTGCCACAGGCTGAATCTCCTTGGATGTGCGAGTCATTGTCCAGTGTGGGGAATGGCTAAGGACAGACTTAGAACAAACCTGGGGAGGAAATGCTCCTGATATAAAAAAACAAAAAAAGCAAACAGCATATATGCTCTGTAAATGTAGACTCTGATCTGACTTATGTAACCGTACCTGCATAATGCACATTTTTTAAACAGAAGAAAATAAATCATATGCATCAGAAGTTATCGGTAGAGGTGGGACTATCCATGCTCTCGTTTTCCTTTGTATATATTTTTCTCTTTTAATATTTTCCAACTTTCAACAATGTAATGAACACAACTGGAAAATAGGATCTAGTCCATGGCTCCCAATGCTGTGCCTTGGACTGAGAACAGGAAGGAGAAACTTTGGCTGTCATATTTCTGTTCTTTCTCTCCACCCTCCTCTCGCTTTCCACCCCCAGTCTGCCCTTCCAGTTTAGAATGGCCCCCGTGCTGGGCTGGCACAGTGTAAGTTGTGAGTGGTTTTCTCCCTCTGTCCCTGTCTGTCTTGCTCTCTCCTTTAGCCAAGATCTTGGGGAAAGTGGGAGAAAGCCTCAGCCGGATCTGCTGCGTGCGCCCGCCGGTGGAGCGCTTCACCTTTGTAGGTAAGGAGGCAAGCTCTTTCTTTCCCAGTTCTGTCTTCTTTCCCTGCACCCTTCAGGCATCCATAAATTCCCACAAGTGCCTGTGCTGTGGTCTGAATGTTCATGTCCCTCAGAGTCATACACTGACATTCTAGCCACCAAGGTGACAATATTGAGAAGTGGGGTCTTGGGAGGGTGATTAGGTCATAAGAATGGAGCCCTCATGAGTGGGATTTCTGCCGCTATAAAACAAGCCCAGAGAGGTAGCTAGTAGTTTCTTCCACCATCTGAGGACCCGTAAAGAGGTGCTGTCGGGGCTAGGGATTTAGCTCAGCGGCAAAAGCGCCTGCCTGACAAGCGCAAGGTCGTGAGTTCGGTTCCCGGTACCGGAAAAAAAACCAAAAAAAAAAAAAAAAAGAGGTGCTGTCTATGAACCAAGACACTGACCTTCACCAGCCTCCAAAGCTTCCAGCACCTGGATCTTGGTCTTCCAGCCTCTAGAACTGTGAAAAACATATGTCTATTGTTTATAAGCCACCCAGCCTATGGTATTTTCTTATAGCAGACAGAACAGTCCAAGGGATGACCATTTATAGAGCAGAGACCGACAGAGACCAGAGGTATGCAGAAATGTGACCGGGCCTCCTTTCCATGGTGGAGCGGGAGTCCAGAGGGTCTCGTTAACCTGGGGCTGCCTGAGAGACCTCATGATCACCACCCTCCTCCAGCCCGTGCTCACCTAACCTGTGCTCACACAGAAGGGCTCCACATACCTAAGGGGTTCTGGTGGGGCCCAGAATCCTCCCGCAGGGGAGCCTAGCTCTGGTAGTGTACGTCCTCCTGTGGGAGGTGAGTGCTCTTCCCTCACTTCCCTCTGTCTTTGCCTGTTTCCCCAACGACTCAGAAGGGATGAGAGTATCAGAGTCTCCGGGGTTATTTCTCCTGCAAGCCTTGAACTTAACTCTGCAGAAGAACTGCAGGCCTGGACCACATTCCTTTTATTTTTTGGGACCATTTCCACCATGTCTGAGATCCGATTTCCGCCATGTTGAAAGGATCTGAGAGGGTTGGTTGAGGAGATGGAGAGGCAGGGTCCTCAACAGCAGTCTGCAGTTGTGTGTGTGTGTGTGTGTGTGTGTGTGTGCAAGTGCACGCGCACACGTGCATGCACTTGCACCCATTGCATACCTCCACACTGATATTGCACACTCGAGAGCCCTGCCTTTCACATCTTTCTGGCTCTGGCTATGTCTGCTACAGAAAAATCTCATCATCCCTAGTCCGCTAGTTCTTTAAACCAAGAGGGCCCTCAAAAAAGATGGCCACCTCCTGGGACTCGAAAAGCTGTCCCATTCATTTTCGAGGACATTGCCCGTGGGGGCAGCCCCCTTAAGATACGGGAGGAAATGGCAGGTGCTTGCCGTGAGCGTGTGCACTGGTTCCCCAGCAAGGCTGTGTAATTCTGAAAACCCCAGAAATGTACAGTGTGCCCCCTGTCTACCTTATGCAGCCCGTGTCCTCCATTCCCCCTCCTTAGATGTCCCTGAGCAAGGAGACCTGTGTCCCTACAGCAGCGCAGCTGCTCCCACCAGGAAGGTGCTCTGCTCCCTAAAGCTCTGTGTCCCCTTTTTCTTCTTCAGATGAAAATGCCAACCTGGGCACCGTGATGCGGTACGAGGAGATCGGTGAGTGGGCCGTGAGCCTGGAGACATTTGGAGCCACCTGCCCCTACCACTGGCAGCATGGAGAAGGGTGGAGGCTTGAAAATCCTGGATTGTGTTTGCAGCAGGTCTATTCTCAAAAGAACAACCATTCCAACCTAAGATCGTCTTCTTCCCTAGCTCCCCTTGAACATCTCTGAGCTGGACTCAGGCCAGGGCCCAAGAGGTTGGACTTTATCAATTCCAATTTTCCCTCCCTTCCAAGTCTCCCTTCCCTTGTCTAAACGAATGGAAGTTGAGCTTCAGTGCAGGTAGGAAGACTATCGTTTAGCCCACAGACACCGCACATAAACAAGGCAGGAGAGCTTGCCTGCACCCTGCATTCTTTAGCAGATGTTTCAGTGTTTGCAGGTAGAGAAGGAAGTGAGGGCTGAAATCCACCCCCACAGGCTAAGGCATCCCAGTGTCTGTGTAAGGATCTCACGCCCAGCCTAAGGTGGGTGGACAGTGGTTACCCAGAGCAGTTGGGATGGGAAGGACTTCACCTGTGTAAATCGCAAAGCAAATCAACAATCTGAAAACTTTCCAAGGGGCAGAGAAAGAGACACAAGAGTGAGACCCAGGTGCCTAAAGCTAGAGAAAGGGCAGACAGGCAGCAGAATGGAGCCAGAGTTGGCACAGATGCCAGGCAAAAGGTCAGTGACAACAGTAATGCCTGGAGGTGTAGGATGAGAGGCAGTAGGTGTCCAGCAGACACGCTCAGTCTTAAACTTGCAGCTGAGAAGATAGTTTAGGCACCTCTTCTGGTACTCTGCCCAACACCTAGAGGTCAGAGCTCCTGTCATAATCCTGAGAGGTGTGGCTGGACCTGAGCTCCTGGTTCTCCCAGGAAACCCAGCAGATGTGACATTATCTCCAGCTGCTTCTCTGGGTCTCGTCCTCTGATGTGAAGTATGGTGGTGTGCCTGAGTTAGCTCAGTTTGGTTTGTTAAAACCATTTGCAAAAGTTTAAGGAATTGTGGGAACCAGAAGCTAAACACAGTTGTTAATAAAAAAAAAAAAATAAGTTATATTAACTCAGTTAAATGAATTGCATTAAAACAAAGTAACGAATAGACTCAATTCCTAATTATTTCATTACAGTTTAATATTCTCTATTCGTGAGCACATCACTCTCCGAAGGCCACAGGAAGGAGCACCTGGCTTCCTGGTGGCTCCCAAAGCAAGCAGGGGAACTTCGCTCCTGCTTCCCCAGAGCTAGGGCATCAGAGCAGTGAGGGGAGTGGAGGTGCGGCTGCCCTGCAGCACCTAGGGCTCTTCTAGGGCCACTCTGCCCCTGCTCAGGGCGGCACCCCTGCTGCAGTGAGGTCAAGGCTGATGCCCCTGCACAGGAGCTGCTGTTGGCCCCGTGCTTCTTTCATGTAGATGACCTCGCTGTGGGGGCACAGCTAGCAGGCCCATCTCGGTTACCATCCTCACCCACAGCGGGTCTGGTGAGCTGGCCACCAATGACTCAGGATGGAGCTGGGCGATGGCTCCCCGAGGCTCTGCCCGGCCGCTGCTGTCAGGATTCAAGGCCGGACTGGTGCAGGCGGCAGCTGCCCTGGTGCGCTGTGGGAGCTGGGATGGGCCACAGGGCTTGGGCTCCACATAGCCAGGATTCCTGGGCGGGGAGTGTAGAGGGAGCGCTAGTCTGGCTCTTGCCCTGGATCAGGGTGACCTGGGGAAAGAGGCGGGGCCCAGCGGAGAGCAAAGCTTGTAATCTTCAAGGCCCTGGGGCCCTGTTTTTTAAAACCCTTTTGCACATTTCACAAGGAGAAGCCACTTCCTTCTACCTCCTTAGCATCTGGGACCCCCATCTCCACGTTCCTAATAGCTGGCCGCACCTCCTAGCCTGCCAGAGCCAGAGTTAGGCGCCGGAAACACTTTAGGTTCACCCAATAAACTGGGGGAAATCACTGCTGCCCTCCAGTGGCCACACACGAGACCTCAATGCCCTGCTAGCGCCACCTGTCTGTGACGAATACATCTGCTCTGGTCCTGCAAGAAAAGGCAGAGACCTCCCTTGCTCTTGAACTTTCTGTGCTTTGGCCTATAAAAGAAACAAAATTAAAACTCCCACATTATACTTGAGTGAGCCTCTGGCTTGAGAATCAGAAACACTAATTGTGAAGGCGCTAAGCAGGGGTTTTCAGCCTTGGCACAACTGACATCTCTGGAGCAAGATAATTCCGTGTCACGAGCGTTGTCCAAAGCATTGTAGGGTGTTTGGCAGCACCCCAGGCCTCTACCCGCTGGATTCCGTGAGCAAACCCCTCCTCTCCCAAGTCCTGATAGCCAAAAATATCTCCAGACATTGCGAAGTGTCTCCAGGAATCTGCAAAATTGCCCCCACTTGAGAACTACTGATGCAGAGAAAGCTGAGGGCCAGCTCGTCCTCTGGGTATGGCCACGTCACTGAATCTTTGGGCAGTCACAGCAACAGAGCCTCGGGCTTTCGAGAGAGGACTGGCCTGAACTGTAGGGGCACTGAGCGGGAAGCGCGCCGTCTGGCTCCTTTCAGCCGTACCAAGCCTGGCCCACCTCCAGAGTGCGGAGTGGGCCTGCGCTCCCCTGCCCGCGGCAGAGGGCGGTGCCTTTGCCTCAGCGGCAAGCTTTCCTCGGGAAGCCTCCGCCGCAGAGCAGACAGGGCTGCCACAGCCCTCCAGATTGCCCAGCAGCTCTCAGGCAACCCGGTGACCTCTGTCCTTAGCTTGTTTGTTGGTCACCACGACTGACAGCCTAATGTGCGCCAATCCCTCCGCCAAGCCCAGGGCGTATAAAGATAGGTTAAGGTTCCTGCACAGAAACAGATCGCTAGCCTGCAGTGTGTTGAAGAGGGAAGAGGATGCCAGAGGTGGGTGAGCTGCCTAGACCCTGGAACAATGAGACTTGGGCGCTGTTGGTCATTGCCTCAGGGTCCATGCTAACAGCTGTCTCAGGAAGCCTGGCTCTGAGCTCAGCATAGGGTTGTGTTATTGTCTCAGACCAGAAGCTCCATAGCCTCAGACCCACCATGGAAGGGCCTGGGCCCCCTGAGTCACATCCTGGGCCAGGACTCTCCCCATGGTGCTCTAAGAATCCCCGGATTCCCTCCCCCACACTGCGCAGCTTCAATAAGCAACAGTTTGCTGCATCTCTCAGATGACAGTGCGCCTCCCTGGGGTCACTCAAAGCGGGTGTAATGAGGGAAGAAAAACAACTGACAGCCAGCAAGTGTGCCAGGGGGCCAGGAAGAGCAGGGAGGGCAGGGAAGGACCTCAGCCTCACTTCTCAGGCCCTGCTGAGGACAGTGGCCTGAGCACTCAGGAGGTGCACTTGGTGCCCCCCACTCTGTTGGGTGACCAGACATATTAGTGTAGCCCCAAAAGGCCCCTGTGCTGGGGAGGTGGCTCCCTTCTGCACTCGGCTCTCCCTGCATGAGTAATTCCCACAGAAGGCCAGGGCGCTCTGACCCTCAGCCAGCGGGGGAGGGAGCAGAGGTGCCTACACCACACCCGCCCTGGGGAGGGGGCCCATCTAGGACTCCGCAGCCCCCTCAGAGCAAGACTTCGTGTCCATCAAGGGAAGAAGGCTGGGAGGCGCGGTGACCGTGTCCCAGGCCTCCGCTTGCTCCCTCTGCTGACTTTGTTCCCCTCCCCAGAGCTGCGGATCTTGCTGCTGTGCGGCAGTGACCTGCTGGAGTCCTTCTGCATCCCAGGGCTCTGGAATGAGGCAGATGTGAGTAGCAAAGCCATGGGGCCCGGCACAGCTGGGGAGGGAAGGATGGGAAGGGGACGCTTGACTTTGGCCTCTGATCTTCCCTCCCCCAGCTGCAGCCTTGCCTCCTCCGTCCTCCCAAAGGGCAATCCATTCACATCCATCGCTGTGGAAGAAAACCCTCACCTACCCCACTGAGCTTTATCTCCTTTTGCATTTCACACTACCCCCCTCGTGCTTGCTCCGGGAAGCCTGGGCGGGGCACTGTGAGTCACAGAATGCCTGGCTCTCAGGGGTGTTTGGGGAGTGTGTTGGGGGGTGGGGAAAAGGAGGGATTAAAAACCTTTGCCCTTTCAAGATGATAGTGTATTTCGTTTTCTTTTGACTCTTTTGAAGAGGTAGTAAAATACCAACCTAAAATACCCTTAACAAGAGGAAAGAGGTCAAGAGGGGCGACCTTAATGGCAAAAGTTCAGTAGGAACCTTCTGGCAATGGAGTGGGGCTACAGGAAATGAGGCAGTTAAGTTTCTATCACTCAGAAGCTCTGGGGACATCTTCAGTTGCCAGACCCAGCTGTGCCGGTCTTAAACTGGCTAATCCACAAAAGTACTCTTCACGCGTGTATTCGTTCTTGTTCTTTCATTAGTTCATCTGACAACCTGAGCTAAGGCTAGCTCCCAACCCCAGACCTGTACAAACTGAAGTACCAGGGCAGCAGTTCCAGACTTCGTGCTTTTTTCATCCACTTGTGTGACCCTGTCAATCACTCAGTTCCTCTGGTCACCAAACAAGGCTAGTTTTGCCCAGGGTACAGTATGACAATCCCTGAGATTATGACTTTTGAAGAAAAAAAGAAAGTTTATTCACAAGGAGGCAAATGTGAGGGGGCAGAAACCCCAAGTATCAAAGAGTTTAGGGATGTGTGCAGGATAAAGAGGAGGGTAGTCTGAGGGTGGAGAGCTGTCAGAGGTAAGGCAAAGCGAAGTGACTGGTCTGTTACGTGTGTGATCACCTTCATGGCTCAGCACAGGCTGTGTGTTTAGAAAATGGCAGCGCTAACGTGCACTGAAGGTGTGGCTTAGGCCTCTGATTTTCAAAAAGTGAAGGGTCAGTAGTTTCATCCGGTTGGAGCCACCCTTAAGTTCCTGGAAAACAGCATGGGCCACCAATACGGTCAAGGCCCATGTGTCAGATCTGTAGCAAAGCTAGTAGGACGGACTGCTTAGCTATGTGACCTCTAAAATAGGCGAGGAAAGCAAGTAATTTAAAGCAAGTGAGGCTAGAAGGTGTATGCAGGCTTTCCTCCCCATCTTCAGTTGTCCTTATAAATCTATAAAATGGTACTATAGCAGTCTGAGATTTTAAAGAAATATACAGTACAATCCTTGCCCTCAAGTATTAGGAGGTGTGGTTATATACATATGGAAGTCTTTTCATCTATGTTTACTTTTGGAAAGACAGAAAGAGGAGAGGCAGGAGAGAAGCAGCCTTCAGGGTCAAACTCAAGATTTCAGTTTTATTCCACCAGAGCTTGTAACAAAATATATTTTCAGCTTCATTTTTTTCCATCTCCCCATCTCTAAAATGGGCACGATAATAAAATCTACCTCATACGGTTTGGGGAAGACTTAAGTGACATTATCTATTTAAAGTGTCTACTTAGTTTAACACCTATTATACAATTACGTGTAACAAATGGTAAAAGAAATTCACAAATACTAAATAGACACATTCAAGGTGAAGGGCATAAATGCTAACATGCTGTAGGATTACCAAGAGGGGAGGGAGAGTTTCAGGGAAGCAGAATATACTGTGTCTCCTTCCATCTTTCCTGGAACGCTTGTCTGCAGGTGAAATTTTAAGCCTTTTGGTTGTGGATTAAGTGACTTAACTTAGCTTTTGTTTCCTCGCTACTTCCCGAGGTCCTGTGAAAGTAAAAAGTGATGTGGATTGAGTTCTGTGCAAGATCACAGTAAAACTCTCAAGAATCCAGGCAAAGCTAGCCAGTTGCCTGGAACCCCTTGCTGTGGGAACGCTGGGAGTCCTGGAGGAATTCAGAGAAATGCAGTCAGCAACTGGAGCTGCATCCTGCTTGCTTGAGCAGGGAATCCCTGGGGCTATTTTACTAAGGAGGACCTGGTAGGAGCTGCCTCTGGGGGGCAGACCCCAGCTTCCTGGAGCTTGAACTTTACACAAGTTGGGACCCTTGCTGCATGGCCAATCCCTCTGAGTCCTTCTAGTCAGATCACCAACTGCAGATCCTCTAACTTCTCTCCAAAGTGACTGCTCTTGGAACCACAATGGAGGATGAGGGAGAAGAGCTCAGGCTTTCTCTAAGGTTGGTTAAAGGAGAAAATCTAAGAAACCAATATCTGTTGATTTACCAGGGATGTGACAATGATGGTAAAGTCCTTACCTATTCAAATGTGTTCCTACCTGACCACTTGGGCAGGCCCTGGTCCTGACCTTCTCACTTTTTTTGACTCTTGGAGGAGATCACAGAATTTCAGTAGCTTATGCAAAGAGAAAAGCGATTCTCCTATCTGATTCCCAACCCCCAGTCTGAAGTGGGTGACTTTGGAGCATGGGTAGAAGCCAAGGATGAGATAACGAGCAGATAACAAGGTGGGGTGACCAGCTAGTTGCAGTTTTCTGGGGACTTACTTGGTTTTAAAACTGAAAGTCCCACAGCTAGGGTTGCAGCTCTTTGGTGGACAGCACTGACTTAGCATGCAGGAGGCCTTGGGTTCAACCCTCAGGAGGAGAAAAACAAGAACCACCCTTGTGACACTCATATCCTTAGAACTCCCTCAGCCTCAGGCCGCCTTGCGTGGCTGGAGACCTAGGACATCCAGCCTGGCTACTATTCTCAGAGGGCACGACAGTTGCTACATCTGCCCTGTGCAAGGCTGAGATGCGGGTACCTGCCAGGACAGCAGCCGACCTTCAAAGCTGGCCCCCAAGGGCTTTGTCCAGCCTGCAGCAGAGCTGCATCGGGCACCCACCAGGCCAACTGCTCATTCCCCTGCCTCACCGGCAGTGAGCAATCTGTGAGGTCTTTAGAATCATTGCATCTGAGGCAGGGGTGGAAAATATCCAAGGAAGTATTTCCTTAACTAATGTGCGTGAAGTTCGGCCTATTAACAGAAGCATGCCAAAAATATCACTTTTAGTTTATTTAAATCAAGTTAAAATTCCGCTCTAAATCCGTATCCGCAAGGACAGTAGAAGTTCTGTCTGAGTCACTGCTGCTGAGCAGACCCAAGAGGACCTTGTATGTTAGTTGACCAAGGTCACCACATCTCCCCAGCCTTTCTAGTCTTTGAGGGTGATGGTACTCTGGTCCTTGTCCACTTGGGGCAGGGGCCGAGTGGCTGAGTCTGGAAGCCTGTGCTGTCCCCGGCCCATAATCTGCAAGATCTGTCTCCTCTGGTGCCCTCCAGGAGGTGACAGAGGGTGGACTTCAACGACTTTGAGCCTCTTCCTGTCTCAGGGAAGTGTGCAGAGCAGCAGAAGCTCCTTTTCCTTCCTTCTGCTCTGCAGGAAGTATTCCTGTTTCCTCAGGATCTTATTAAAATTTCTCCAGTAGATTTAAAGCCACTGACCTCAAAACATTCTGTTTTTGTCCTGTGATTTCCTCTTGTAAAATGTCGCTGTCCGCTAGAAATAGGATTGAGTAGGCAAAGGCGGATGCGGGGAACAGGAAACTAGTTAGGAAATTTGTGAGTTAGTCCCCACTCCTCATTTTGGGGAGCTCGGACGTCATGCCTGAAAAAGAAGCATCCTTCTCCCAAAACCGGCAACATTGGTGAGCCCTGCTTAGGCTACTAGCAAGTGAAATGGCCTGCTTTGGGGATCTGTTTCTACACAAGATTCCCAGGGATGAGATAGAGAAGGCCTGTCTCTGTCCTGGCTTTCATTCATTCATTCTTTCACCCCTTTATCAGAATACATCTGTCAAGCAATAGCCGGTAAGCAGTATCGCTTGACCCACAGACCAGACGCCCAAAGCCCTGCACCTGCCCAGGCCTGGAGACAGGAGTGTGGCCAGGAGAGCACAGGTTCTTCTCCGCAGTCCAAGGCCCTGTCTCCACAGTCCACGCTCCCTTGTCTCCATTGTCTGGGATCCTCAGAGGCAAATAGAGAAGCTGCTTATTTGAACAGATCTTGTGAGAAAAAGGAGACTTCATCCTTCTACAGAGAAATCTTGAAGGGACTGTGAAGCTGCCTTTCCTTCATCCTGACTGGGAACCAACCAAAATGGCCTGTTGAACAGCAGGACTGCGAAGGCCTCTCTGTCAGCCCGCTGAGTCAAGTCTGCTCTTTCTTTTGCCTTGAAGTCCTAAACCAAAGGTTGCCATCTAGAAACCTAATTAACCTACCAACCCTAGCCGACCCAGACACATCCCTTGTGGCATTTCCCATTAGGCACAAAGATCCATAGGCCCACAGTGAATTCTGACCTCTGACCAGTGACACTCCCTTCCCCTTACATTCCAGGGCGAGAAAATTCCATACATATTCATCGCGTTTTTCTCAAGTGAGATACAAAAGAACTGCTGTGTGGCCCGGCAGTTGGCACTTTCATTCTTGATTTCCAGAAAAATCAGGATCTAGACTCTTGGAACAGCCTTTGAGATCAGGACCCGGTTCCCAGTACACCACCCCATTCTCAGCTCTTTCATAGAGAGCGGCTCTCCCCCAAGAAACCGATCCTTTGATGTGCTGCATACTGGCACAAGCAGGAAAGCAGGTATCCAGACATGCATCAGGAACTGTGGGAAGCCGAGACCAAAGGCACTGGCTGAGCCAGGGCCGATTTATGAAGCAGAAAGCTTTTATACTTACTCCTGTGCCTGAGACAAAACCTGCTGTGTAGGGATCTCATGCTGCCAGCTGCTTTGTCTGTCATACGATAATGGAAAGGAGGCAAATTAATTCTGATTTAAGCATTCCTTTCTTCAATCGGTCTTTCAACAGTGCCCATATTAACATAGCATCTACTTGCCCTTCAGACACT